TGCGGCACCCCTGGGCATTTTATAAAGTATTATTTTTTCACAACTTTAACTAAATATTATACATATATTTATAAATGAAAAAATTAGATTATTATATATTAAATAACTGCTTTTATTCTAGACAAACTACAGAGTTCATCCAGAAGAAAAAAAACATTATATGAAATACTGTGCTATTTTATAACTTTATTAAATAAAATATAAACTTTACGGAAGGGCTAATAATTCTGCTGTATCTATAAAATGTGTCTCTGTCAGTGACTCACCCTTCTGTCCCACCAGGCTTTTAATAGTCTCTGCAGCTTTTTTAACATTCTCATTGTCAGTCACATCCAGATGCAGCGTCGTGAGTCTGTCAGAGCAGATCTTCTTCAGCTCGTCCTCTCCTTTCTCTGAGTAGCAGCCAGCGATGACTCTAAAACCCTTCGTGTCCAGATGTCTGGCCAAGAGATTCCCGAAACCGGTGTCGCAGCCTGTGATGTACACAAACTTCTCTGATTTATTGGAGACTCTGCCCAGTTCTCTGAACCACCGATAGACGTAGAACAAGACTACGAGGCCGGCAATGTACAGGTACATGTCTGCAAAAGAAGAAAAGAGGATTCACTTTTAGGCGAGCCACACCAAATCGAAGAAATAAGGATACGTGAGATGGTGTAAAAGTTCAAAGCTCCACTGATAAAGTACACAAACTAGTGAACCATTAACTGGCTGGCTTATGATTGTAGATCACTTCAAACTAAATGAGGGATTTTGTTAAATCAGGGTTTCTGTGGGGTCTAAAAAAGTCTAAAATTTTTAAATCGAAATTTAAGGCCTTAAAAGGTCTTAAATTAGCTATTCTAGGTCCTAAATATTTTTGCACAGGTCTTATTTTTCCAATGTCCATGTAACGCTACATCTAATGCTAATTTAAATGCTTATTTGTTGTTGTTGCTTGGTTTTCATGGTGTTGTAGATCTTTATTTCACTAGTCCAATTGTAATTTGCGGTATTACAACTACAAATGAGGTCAACTTGCAATAGCCAATCAGTTTTCTGTTATTGACTTGAATGTTGCTGTGTTTGTGGCGGTTCGCTGTGGGTGCACTCCACATGATTTCGACTGGCGGAGTATGGCATTATTTCACAGACAAATGTCGTAAGCTTAGTATTACAAGTCAGGAACGCATTTAAGCAGTACGAGAGAACGAATGTCACTCGCTGGTTTTTCTCTGTTCTTGGACAAAACTGCTCGCAAGCTCTCAAAACACTGGCAGCTCAAGTGCGAATGATCTGCTCTCGCTCCGTCGGACGATGCAAACTCACAGTTTTTGTGTCTTGTGTTTCCTCGTGCTTTTGCTCTCCAGAGATGCTTCAGAATACTGTAGTATTTAGAGTCGTGAACTGGTAAAATGTAATACAGTGTAGTTTTACTACAGTAAAGTGTGGTGAATTCGAATAGTAAACTAATATACCCTATATTGTAAAAAAATAAATAAATAAAAAAATACAGCACTGGGTAATTTGTTTAAAGCTAATGGAATTTTTTGGGACACGGCGCTGCATTTGATTTGAGTTGAATATGAAACACTTTGAAGAGATTTTGTCTGAAAAGTTTGAAATAACCTGAGGGTAAGTTTGTTAAAACAAAAAAGAGGCCCCCAAAAACATCTTCAATGATATTAATGATTCTCTTTTTATTCGTCTGATTTTACTGTCTGTTTCTTTTGACCGCCCATTGTCATTTAAAAGAATATCTCAATGGCGAACATGTCAAGTATAAAAGCCTCATCATTTCATAAGGTGTGCGATGCGGTGCCAGGCGAAAGTATAAATCAGCATTAAGATGTTTGTTTGTTTTTTCTGTAGTTCAATGGTGCATCTTTCCTGTCTTTAGTACTGTTTAATTTAAATGCATTTATTGTACCACTAATTTTATGATTTAGCTTTTTCTCTCTCTTGTTTTTGATATTTAGGTCTTAAATTAATTACTTAAAGGTCTTAAAAGGTCTTAAATTTGACATGATATCTGCAGAAACCATGTGAATGCAAAAAAAAAACAACAACTAAAGACTTATTTTACATACTGCTACGATAAAGCATTATAAATTAGGGCTGCAAGATATTGCGATGATATTCTGTTCTACTGCTAAATGAATATAATTTCACCAGATGATTTGAACAGCTTTATTTGGAAAGATTTTTATTCACTTAGACCGGCTGGGATGGTCAAGTCCTTTTCTGGGCAGTGGAGCTGCATGAATTATAATAAATTACAAGCAAAAATAAATAAACAAACAGTTCTTTATGATTTTCTGGGAAGTCCAACAGTATTCAAGTACAGAAATTGAACAATCAATCATTCATTTATACATTTTTCTTCCGTTTAGTCTCTGATTTACCAGGGGTCACCACAGCAGAATGAACCACCAACTATTCCACCATATGTTTTACACAGCGGATGCTCTTCCACATACACTATGGGCAATTTAGCTTATCAGTTCACCTTTAGCGCATATGTTTGGACTGTGGGGGAAACCAGAGCACCCGCAGGAAACCCACGCCAACACAAGGAGAACATGCAAATGGGCTTTCTGGCATAGGGCCCCTAAATTGCCAGGCCCCCCACTTTGTCCCCCCCCCCACCCCCCACCCCTCGCGACACCCCTGCTGATAGAGGTTTGGAAAGTGCTATATTTACACCTCTGCTGTTGATGATGCCATGGATGTAAACCCCCCCCCAATCAGAGGGTTGTCCCCATCCCATCCATAAAACATATGTATACCTATAATAATTGTGTAAGTAAAAATCATGTTCATAGTAAAGTTAGTAATAAACATTTATACACAAGTATTTATGTGTATAAAGCATCTGTTTTTGAGAAGTGCTTCTCATACGATATGTGAAAGACCCGTACAGCTTCACTGTGGACGTTTTCTCGATCGAGAACAACGATGACTGAAACTTTCTGTCGTACACTACGCCCACCAAAAGATTATCTTATGGCAGTGGAAACGCAAGCCTAATAAAGGTGACCCATACCAACCCATACCGTACCGTACCACTCAGTGGAAACGGGCGATTTAATGTTGTTGACTTGAATTAGTTGCAGCACAAATGCTGATTACCGATGTAATTGTCCATGAATCTGCTATATTACCAATTAAAATATTACTTATCTAGTGAGCTTTAGCTTGTTTACAATATCTTGTTGCATTTCCTAGCATTGTTGCCGTTTCCTAGCATTGTTTTATTTGTGACGACTTGGGTTAATGTTAACTTAACATCAACAGTCACTGTGCTATGTCCAAACTGAATTGGATATATATATATATATATATATATATATATATATATATATATCCATATAACTCTTGAGCTTTGAGAAGAGAAAATCTTACTAATCTGAGAGATGTTGGTCTTTATGTCGGAACACACCAATGTTTTATCCTTTAAAGTAGATCACCTGAAACCTGGAACTCGCAGACATCTGATGATGAAGCTTTGTTTTCAGAAGTATTGGACGAAGCACTGTGAATTCCAAACTCCATTAACACCATGAAAGTGCTTGCTGGAACTCGCAGGAATCCCGAAGTCTTTGAGCTATTTAGATAATGTGGCACACGCAGAGAATCCTTTGAAGAGAATCTTACTGAAGCTAAAGGTCTTTTAGGGAGGCGCTACTTATGTTGGCTGCTTTTCCAGACTTCCCAATTTACCTCGGAGGCTTGTTTGGTTCTCCTTGGAGACATTCAGAGGTCTATCTCTTGCACAATGAAGCTTTTGTCAAGCACAAACAAGCTTCACAGTTATTACAACCATCAACAACCTTTTACAACCAACTACAACAAGTATTTCCTTCAGAGAATGTTTTTAATGCTTTCCCTGGGAAGGTGGGATTAAAAAGATGGTGCCTTTCAAATCCAACAGTGTGATTGGATCACCCTGAGATTGTCACAGGAGGGTGTGATTGGCATTTGCATAACCAGAGTGCAGTTAAGACTGTTTAACACCTAAAAGTTTTAAATATTTTTCTACGCATAATTCCCTTTCCAAAGCACTTCCAATTCATCCAAGACATTGTGCTGAGAATATAGACCAAATATCACCATCTATCTATCAAATGATGTTTAACAGAGCAAGGAAATTGTCTGAGACAATGCTGATTTAAAAGGCAACTGTTAATTAGGAATAAAACAAGTTCTGCAAGTTGTGGCTCCCCAGGCAAACAAAAGACAGATGGCCCATTTCTTAATCAAATTAACTACTGTCTCCATTCCTGCTGTTAACTGATAAGCTGAAATAAATGTGTTAACTTATCACTTAAACTGGCTCCAGCACATTAATTTCCACAGTCTGCAACCCATTATTGTGAAGCAACAATCACATTACACACACACTCGTACACTACGGCCATTTTAGTTCAACCAATTCACCTATAGCGCATGTCTTTGGACTGTGGGGAAAACCGGAGCACCCAGAGGAAACTCACACCAACATGGGGAGAACATGCAAACTCAGAAATGCCAACTGGGACTCAAACTAGTGACCTTCCTGCTGTGGGGCTACAGTGTTAACCACAAGATTTATTTTTGCCATTTATTCATTATTTATGACTATATTGACAGAAAGCAAAGCTGAAGAGGGGGGTGAGATTGGGAAAGGTCATCAAGTCAAAACCTGCACTCGAGACGTACAAATTGATGTTGCTGTTATGTTGGTGCACTTTCCACTAGGGTATCGGTAATGACAAAACCAATTTAATAAAAACAAAAAAAAAACAACTTGATCCCAGGGTGGACAAATACAAAAAAGAAGCCTTTAAAGAGGTGGTCCACTACAATGTCATATTTTAAACTAGTTGATGTGTAGTGTAGCTGTGAACATAAACAGCATCTCTTGTAAGACGCTCAAAGTTCAATGCAAATGCAAAGACAGCTAAAGTGCCATCCAAACGCTGCTATTTCCACAGAGCTTGTTCTGTTTTTTGTATTTGGTCTTCTAAAGGACACGACACAAAGACAGAAGTGCTTGCAGTTTAATTTTAATTATGTTCCAGAAGATTATTAAAAAGATATAGCTCTAGCATTTGACAAAGGAGAGCCTCCAGAATCTCTCTCAGTTCAGTGCTGGACAACATGCACAGTTTCTAGCATTAACGGTATGCAGTAGTGAAGACGTGAATAAGAATGTAAATAACAGGAAACGCTGTTTAGCGCTGTTAACAATTTAGCTACAAATTCATAATTATCAGTCAAACTGCTGTAAACACCCATAATCTTCAGCAGCGCTGCAGTTTCTTTCTATGCGGCTGCTTTCCATAAGTTCCATATCTCAAATAACAACTTACAAAAGATATGTGAACATTTTATATTACTTACACATGCTTATTCCTAATATATGTGGAAGACACTTGTCAGGTTTTATTTTCGAGAGCAGGCGTGAGGTTAAACTGTGTGCCCTTCATTTTTCTGTCTGTTTCAGGCAGCTAATGCTGCTAACTGCTGCTCTGACTGGCAGTATTTACACAGCGCTAAAGTGCAGGCTTGTAAGGGTGTGACGTGGAGCCGGTCCACGAATCACAGAACATAACTAGCT